GGCCGGAATTGCGGGAGGTAGTATGATCTAAGTAAATTTTTTTTTTTGTTGCACTACTTATGATCGCCAGTGTATGACTCCTAAAGAAATACTTTTCATATAAAATTAATGTTTCGTCATGAGTTTCGTCATAAGTCTCGTCATTCGTCGCAAGTTACATCAATCGTCATTCGTCATTTCGAAGTTGCCTGACGAAATGGTTTCGTCATTCGTCATGATTAAAGGTTTCGTCATTCATTAGGCATCATTAATGTACGTGACAATGTCTGATATTAATTAGCCATAAGTACATGCCAATAATTTGTATGATGCCCGAAAGCTTTGCTGCTTCAACTAATAAGTACCATTATAAATTCAGAAAAAATAAACTGCGATCCAATAAAATAGTGAAGCATAATTTTGCAAGAATATAACAGTTTAACGTTTGTATTTAAGATTTTTGGATTTTTATTAAGCTAAATGAAAGTTTAAGATTGTTATTTAGTAATAGCAAATAACCCAGATTTAACATTTTTGGAAACAATTATGGAATTAAGCATCGAAAAAAAACAAAAAATAAATTCACAAATGAATAGAACTTATTTATTCTTATAAATCTATGTCAAACATGTCCGTATCCAACTTTTTAAGCGTTTCATTGGCTTTAATATGACCTTTATAAGCTGACAACTTTAAGCATCTTAGCCCCTTTTTCTTATCTATATTTACATGCGCTTTTCCATGCAAATAAACGTCACCTAAACTATATAACGCTGCAGCATTTCCATTCTCAGCCGCTTTACTCAAATAATCTAAAAATTTTTCTCTATTTTCTTTTGTTCTTGGGATTGTAAATGCATACCAGAATTGAGCATCCGCTATACCTTCATCAGCAGTAATTTTAAACAGTTCATGCGCTTCTGATTGATCTTTATCCTTTTGTTCTTTTGACCTTTCTGTACCGGTTGGATACAATCCCTCCCATAAATAGTACGCTTTCCAATAGCTACTAAGTGGACTCTTAAGTTTGGCATTATTTTCAAAGCATTTCCATGCCATTTCTCTGTTTTCGGGTGTCTTAGATCTATGAAGCTTGATTCCATCTTTAACTGTTAAAATTTCAGTTATATTAGTATTATTTTGTGCATCTTCATGTATTGCTGAATCAGTTTCGATGCAAGAGTCAGCAGGTTTCAGAAATGATGATTTTTTTATCAATTGATGACAATTCTAAAAGTCTTAAATATAATATATTTATGCTAATTCTTTCGCTTGGGTAATGTTTCCATGCTTTTTTTAAAAAAAGAAAAAACAATAGTTATTGTTACGTTAGTCATACCATTTTAAGTAATTTTACACTTGTCTTATTTTTAATTACCTTTCTGAATTAAATCTTTAAATCCATCTTTAATAATTTTGTCATTTGGATCAAGTTCTTCGAAGCTATCAAAATCATCAAAACTTTCTCTCATACCATTTGTGACATGATTTATTAGATTTGTTAAAATCATATTCTTATAAGGAATTTTTTGACAAGCTAGCTCCCACATGAGCATCCCAAAACTACAATTATAATTGATTAATATTTTAATCCTTAAAATATTCGAATTGTGAAGTAAATAATTACCTAAAAATCTCGCATTCTTGTGCGTACGTTTTATGAACACTTTCATCTTTGAACATTTTTTCAGGCGCTAACCAATTGATCATATTTAAAATATCAGAAGATAAACCTGTTTGCTTTATAGTATAAGACAAATCAAAAGCAAGTTTCGGCTCATAATGACCTGTCATCTATTAAATTAATTATCATATATTAGATTTTGAATAACATTCAATATATTTAATTCGGTGATCCATTAAACGTATAAACTGGACATTGGGCTTATAGATTCCAAATGGATCGTATATGTCCAATTCCAATTCAAATTGCTAGACTCATAAGGGTGACTGATTTAATCTGTTTTAAATTACTTACCATAACATTTTGACACCGAATATGTCGATGAAAAATACCAACAGCATTCAAAAATGTAATTCCTTTACAAATTCCAAAAGCTATTTGAGATTTTAATGACCACGGGATTTTTTCTTTTTCATATAATTCCTTCAAATTTCCTTTTTCAGCCCACTCATAGACCATAATATTATTTTCTCCAGAGAGGCCATAAAATTTTAGAATATTTGGACAATCTAATAGTCTTCTTTGAATTGTCAAATCATTATGTAATAATTTCGTTTCAGTTTGAATAGTAATTTGTTTACATGCCACATTAATGGAATCTTTGTAAACCATTTTAATGATATTCATTAATTTTCCACGGCGCTCTTTGTCAGAACTTTCATGTAATAAATTTGAATCAATTGTTGGTATATCTATTATACTATTATTGGACTCAAACTTGTTTTTGATACATTCGACTTCCAGATAAATAAGATTGGTTTGCCCTTTATGATAATTAGAATACCTTTCCAGGAACTATTTTTAAAGAAAAAAAATTAGTATTATTGACAAAATAATTCTTATTGTATCTTCTATATCACATAAGCTATTATATAATACCTTTCCCGTTTCTTCAATGTCATTTTTTAAACATACATCATCAATTTTTTCCAATAGAAACTTTAAACTATTCAACCCATTTTCATATTCCTTCATTAACTCTCTATAATTCTTTCCTATAGCTTGAACATTATCGATCCATCTTTCGAGCCCCTTAATTGCGTCACTTGGCTTGCAAAATCTTTTATTTTTTCTAATATATTTAAAAGTATATTTAACGATTCTTGACATTTTAAACTTGCTATTTCTTTTCTAAATTGTTCTTTTTGAACAAATAAAGATTTGATAACTGCTTCTGTAGATAATAAACGACATAAAATAGCTTTCGATATATTTTTATTATATTGTGCTTTTTCGTTGATCTGAACTACTTTTTGAAAAATTTCAGAAATGTCATTGAAAAAAGATTCGATTGTTAATAAGTTTTCGGTGTTAACTATTTCTAATTGTATGCTTGGTATTTCTATAGGTTTCGTTGATGTCATGTTTAATACGGATATTGTTAATCAAAATATGTTTAAACATTGGAGGTATTCAAATGGGTTGAATAGTTTAAAGTTTCTATTGGAAAAAATTGATGATGT